TAGAGAAGGGGTTCTTTATCTTAGTTTCCAAATACCTCTTGAATCCACTCATCTCTTCCTCCAACAGATGTATTGAACAACCAGTCTATTTTCAGTGGGGCTGAGAAATATGCTGAGACAGTCAGGTTCCAACTAGGAAAACCAGAAGTACTACTGGTATCTAAAACAGATAATTTAATATAGTCAAGCGATGGAAGCTCAGAACTTAAAAAGGAGTAGTGAGACAATCTAGAAATACATAAGAGCAGAAAGCCAATTCCATGCTTGAGTTGGAGGGCAGGCCAGTCCTATGGGATTTGGAGCCATGGAGGAGAGGCAGCCCCTGCCAGAGACTCCCAAGCAGAGGGGGAAAGAAATACTCTGTTTTCTCCCTCCTACCCATCTGCCAATGACTCATAAGTGCCCTGCATTAACTGAAAGCCAGCTAACATGGAGCCCTAGGAAGGACATTCTTTAGGGATCAAATCTGCTATGAGAGCATAGCACAGTACAAGGTTGGCACTTGTAAAGGCAGAGGACATTCTCAAAGAATCCCCAGCCTAGAGAGGAAAATGAGATATACGTAATAAAAAGCAAATGCAAAAGTGATTCCAAATCAAGGCTTTTCTCTAGACAGCCCTCATTGTACTTGCAACCCCAACTGCATCAGAAGAACCCTGAAAGTAGAGAAGCAAACTAACCAGCCAGCCCCTGGGGGAACAGGATCTTTGGGCTGTTCAAGTGGTCAAGGATTGGATAGAAGATATTTGTGGAAGGTTTCCTGGAAGTACTGATCCTGGATCAGTATCTTAAAAGATTGGGAAGCTTAGGGGATGAGGGCAGCAGGTGTTCCAAATGAAGAAAGCTGTGGGGGACAGTATGAGCATTGATTAAGGGCATTAGAATCAGGCAGTTCTAGACTCTAGCCCCAGCTCCATCACTTCCTACCTGCACCATCTTAACCAAACCACGTAAACTCTAAGCCAAAGAGTTCTCAACTTGGAAAGAGCAGTAATCACACTGATCTTTTAAAGTGGTGAGGGATTAAAGGTGATCATGCATCTAATGTTCTTATACAGCACTTGGATAACTCCCTGTCCAACAGTAGGAGTTATTATTATCTTTATTAATTATAATAAATTATAATCCTGCCTTGAGGAGGCCAGTTCTTTTTTTAACATTCCATATCAGTTCATCTTTCTGAGAGTGAGCAAGCCTTGTCTCACTCTTCCTCTTTCCTTTCCTCCAAGAGTATTTGTTAAGTAACTCGCTGCATGTGACTGGCTGGAGCACTGTGTTAAGACAAATTCTGAGTGCCAGAACTTTAAGTGCTTCTAATATGGAATTGATTGCCAATCAATTCCACTTCACTAACACAAAACTTAGGAGAGTAAATATGGGTGCTTTGATTTACTACCAATGCCTCCAGAAGAAAGAAATCTTCCAGTGGTGGGTATTTTAGATAAGGCAGCAGCCTTCAGAGAGCAGTCATTTGGAAGAAGCTGATGGGAACAGATACACCTTATTGCAACATAAAGAGTACCCCAACATGGCCCTGTTTTGAAGTGAAGTATTAAGTTTATGGCTGATTATTATCATTCTGTATTGACTTCGTTGACATACTAAAGTTCACTGTTTAGTGGCATGTGAAAGCCAATAGTAGGAATCATTTGTTCAGTGGGATCTGTCATCTGGGTCTGTGAATGATTTCAGGGAAGTGTGCCTACCAGGTGTCCATTTGCTGTCACAACCCTTGCCCATTCTTCTAACCTTTACAAGCTACCTTTGTCAGGCTTGTTGATATGGGCCCTGGATGAGCAGTTGTCTCAGCTTGTCTTCAGCATCTTCCGTTGCAGCAGCTCCAAATTTTGTGTCCAGACATGGCTACAACCTAAGGAGAAAGGGCAGTACTAGAAACTTGGACCTTCTCCGCATACCTCCCTCCTTTCATCATGGAGGAAACTGTCCCCAAGATGTCCCCATAAACATTGCCTTAAATCTAACTGGCTATGCTTGGTCATATGGCCAATGTCAGCTGCAAAGGGAGCTGGGAAAAATGAAATTTGGCTTTTCTGGGTCATAATGGAGTCAATGGAGTTAGAGATTAGGAATGGCCATGGGATAGACAAGCAGTAGTATCTGCCCTAGTGCCTGTTGGTTGTGAGAATAAAATGAGTTTCTACACGTATAGCACTTAGCTTAGTACCTGGTGTGAAGTCAATGCTCAAGAAACATTTTGATAGTAGGATGAAAATAATTATGTGTTGATTTCTCTACCTATCTATCTATCAGTCTACCTGTTCATCTATCCATCCATGTATTCATTCAATCCACCCATCCATCCACCTATCCACCAACCCATTCATTCATTTGTCTATCTATCCACTCATCCATCCATTCATTCATCAATCTATCCATCCATCTCTACTTCTTTGTTGGTTTTGGCAGTGGACTGTCAGCAGGGTCGTCCACCGATTCCTTTTGTTCAATGAATTATTTGATAAGCTCTTTGAAATAGAGGATAAGAATACCCCCACAAGACACCCGTGACGTCTAAGGATGGTGGGCTGTTAACTGAGAGGCTCAGTTTTGCTAAGTGGGCCATGCAAGTTCAAGCCTAGAGCTGTGTTTCCCAGGAAAACAGACATTTTGGAGATGGTATGTGAAAAAGGACTAGGAGAGAGGGGGATATATTATAAACTGACGATGTAAGGAGGGCCTTTGATGGAGAAATTACTGGTGGAAGTGTTCATTGACTTATGTGATGTGCGCAACGCAATGTAAACTCCTTTCATTGTCTTTTCATGATATCTTCAATGTAATCCACCTCATTTGCTAGTGTTTTTGAGATAGATTTAAGGTTTTAGGGATGAGTAGCAGTGCTGAGTCTGTCTTTGAAGTGGCTTAGGTCAAATCCAGAGATGCCCATGTGGGACCGGCCACACATGGGTGACCTAATGAAAACTGAAGGCCAAATAGGATCATGTCCTCTATTTACTTTGGTCCAGGAAGGTAAATAAGAATTGCTTTCAATTTTTGACTCCATCCTATGAAAAGAGGCAGTGAGGAATCAGCTACTATGTTTCTTACGTTCGCAGCTGGGAGGAGAATGTCTTTGTGTATGACCTCGTGAACAGCTGTGTTCCCGGCATCCCAGCTGACGTCTGGACAGGCCTTCATGATCACAGACAGGTGAGAAAGCAATGGCCATTGGACCCCTTGAAAGTTCCAACCAGGATTCTTTTTGATTTAATAAACCTTTCACATCTGTGCCAGGTCACGGCTAAGCACACAGCAAACAGAGAAATCAGACACCAAATGCCACAGTTACAGCGTGACCAATTTGTGAAAGACATTTAATGATGTCCTACTAGATGATGCAAACAGATAGCATGGTCAGAGAAAACCTGTTTGGCTTGGGTTCTCTTAAAAAAAAAAAAAAAAGTCACTAGGCTGGGTGTAGTGGCTCACACCCATAATCTCAGCACTTTGGGAGGCTGAGGTGGGCGGATCATGAGATCAGGAGCTTGAGAACAGCCTGGCCAACGTGGTGAACCTCCGTCTCTACTAAAAATACAAGAATTAGCCAGGCATGGTGGCAGGTGCCTGTAATCCCAGCTACTCAGGCGACTGAGCCAGGAAAATTGCTTAAACCTGGGAGGCGAAGAGGTTGCAATGAGCCGATATCATGCACTCCAGCCTAAGTGACAGAGCAAGACTCCATCTCAAAAAAACAAAACTGAAACATGATTAGATGTGCAAGAGATGTTGGAAGGGAAATATTTGTATATGAAAAAAGAGGAAGGAGGCATAAGTAGGCAGGAAAGGACTTCAAACAACACCTTGGGTCTAAGAGGTCTAAGATATGTGAAAGGAGATTGGAGAGGAAGGACTGGGTAGGGAGAGCCTCATCACAGCACAGTGCTGAGAAAGTCTTGGCTAGACCAATGGGGAGTCCCCAAGCAAAAATGCCCGAGACTGGAATCCTGCCCTCGGCAGGAATGCACCAGCACCATTATCTCTGACATGCTGAATCACTGGCTGAGAACAGCCTGGAGGAAGCATGGTCTCATTGTGAATGCAGTGGTAGCTCCAAAGAGGCAGAGGCATGTCCTTTAGCACAAACAAGGCAGTGAATCCAAGGTGGCAGGAGAGCTGGAGCTGTCCATCAATTCTGCTTTCTGCTGGTCCTCCTGAAGGTGATCTGTGCAGTGTACTTCTGTGACTGCCACAGCCTTCCTGGGTAAGAGATACTTAAGTTAGTGTCTAATGGATTACTAGATGTTAGCCAGAGATAGCCTATTCCAGGTAGAGGAAATAGCATGGGTCAACATCCTGAGGAGGGGGAGGTCATGGCACATTCAAGGAGGTTAATAAGGAAGACCACTGTGGCTAGGGCGCAGAGTGAGATAGGAGTGGGTGTATAATAAAGCTGAAGATAGTAGCTTGGAGCAGATCTCTGCAATGTCACAACAAACTCCACCTGGAGATTTTTGTCCTCAAACTTTGCCTTGGCAAGCTGCATGCTGAGTCTCTATTTTGCACATATGCTTCTTGCCCTGTTCAGAGTACTATAGGGAATAAGGTTCTGGTGCCAGCTCCTGTTCGGCCACTTACTGGCTGGTAGGTGGTTTTATGCAAATTTTAAAAACCTCTCTGAGCCTCAGTTTTTGTGTCTGTACAATGGGGATGAAAATAATAGTGCCTTGTGAAAAGAAAAGTAAGTGAGCTAATATGTGTAAAGAGCTTAGCGTGATGCTTAGCATACTATAAGAACTCTTTAAGGATGATAAGAATTGCTGTTAAAGTAGCAGAAGTGACAATGTGGTCACACCTAACATTTATTTATTTATTTCTATCGAGACAGGGACTTGCTCTGTTGCTCAGGCTGGAGTGCAGTGGTGCAATCACAGCTCACCACAACCTTGAACTCCTGGGCTCAAGCAATGCTCTCAGCCTAGGCTCCAGAGTAGCTAGTACCACAGGCTGGGACCACCACACCTGGATTGTTTTTTAAAAAATTATTGGTAGAGACAGGGTCCCGCTATATTACCCAGGCTTTTCTCCAACTCCTGGCTCCAAGTGATCCTCCAACCTCAGCCTTTCAAAGCGCTGGGATTAGACGCATGAGCCACCATGCCTGGTGATCTTTTAAATCAATAGACTTCCTCCGACAAGAACAAATATAGAAGTTACAATTTTTAAAACACTAAAATGTCCATTTATAATAGCAACTCTAGAATTGGATTATAACTACACTAAATCAGAGTTAAAGAAACTTGTATTAAAAGACCTAACAAAAAATACAGGAAAAATGCCTTTTTTCTTCTTTTCAGAGCTAGGCACCATGGGTCAGGCATTGTGTTAAGTCCTTCACATGCTTCAGTTTTTTCAGCCCTCACTGCAGCTCTCTAGAGGACATATTAACTCCATCATACAGATGTGGAAACTGGGGCTCAGAGAGGTTCAGTAACTTGCTCAGGTTGCAGAGCTAGGCAGTGGGCAGACATGGGGTCTCAAGCTTTCATTTCTCTTTCAGAAGTAGCATGCTATTCCCATTATATGACATGAGCTCCATAATCATCAGTGCTTTGGGGGATACTCTTCTTAAAACTTAAATAAATAGAGAAATGGCTCTTGTTCCTAGACAAGTTACAAAAATGTAGTTCTTTCCACAGTTAATTTGCACATTTATTGCAACACCAGTCAAATTCCCAACAGGACTTTTCTTGCAATTGGACAGAGTAGTTCTGCCTTAGGTAAGAAAAATAGACTATTTAGACAAAAAGAAAAGAGGTGGAGCGTGACTCCCATCCACTGGCAAAATGTAGTAGTTAGGGGTCTTGGGTAGTTGACTCAGGAAGATCTGGGTTTGATTTCCAGCACTCATGCTTTATTTGCTGTATGAATTTGGGTAGATCAATCTGGTCTCAGTTTTATCTGTAAAATGGGGCTGATGATGCCTGCTTTTCAGAATGGTGAGGATAAAGCAAGTAAAGTGCCTGTCCTGGCACATAATAAGCCCTCAACAAATAGCAGCTAGTAATAATAGCAGTAGTATCAGATTGGTAGCAGTAGTATCAGAAAGCAGTAGCCTCAATGAGGACTTTTGTGCAGAGGTATTAGAAATTGAGGTGATACCTGAGGTCAGGAGTTCAAGACCAGCCTGACCAACATGGTGAATCCCTGTCTCTACTAAAAATACAAAAAATTAGCCGGTCATGGTGGCGGGCACCTGTAATCCTATCTACTCAGGAGGCTGAGGCAGGAGAATCACTAGAACCCAGGAGGTGGAGGTTATAGTGAGCTGAGATCATGCCATTGCACTCCAGCCTAGGCAACAAGAGCAAAACTCTATCTCAAAAAAAGAAAAGTCTCAAATGCCTGATCTTATTCTCCTTGGCTTGCTTCCTTGTCTCTCTGGGTGGAACCCTCCCAGGAAGGGCAGTTTGAATGGACTGACGGCTCATCCTATGACTATAGCTACTGGGATGGCAGCCAGCCAGATGATGGCATCCACGCGGACCCAGAAGAAGAGGACTGCGTGCAGATATGGTACAGGCCTACCAGTGGTGAGTGTCCCTGAGACCAAGGCTCTTTGAAGGACACCCGGGAGGCATCACAGATGGGGAGGGCGGAGAAGTGCCTTGGCGGAAGAGGAGCACTGAACAGCCTGAGACTGGCAAATTGTTCAGCACCTTGGAGAGCGGTTGACATCACTAGGGTGTTGGGGGCATGGCCATTCTCCACGGTGGACTTGCTTTAAACAACAGTAATTGTTGTTTGTTTGTTTGTTTTTATAACACGTGAATTCCAACTTAGATAGAAAGATATTATAAATGGAAGCATGAAGGGAAAAAAGACTTGTATGGAGAGTAGTCCAGGGGTGGTGTTTCCATGTCAGCTCACCCACACACCAAAGTGCAAGCCCCTTCCCAAGGCTCATGCTCCTGAATATGTGAAGCAAGCCACACCTGGGGTGGCATGAGGGTGTAGGTAGTGACAAGAGAATAGACCTGGATTCAAATTCTGGCCCCGTTGCTTTCTAGCTCTGTGTCCTTGCAGAGAATTACTTATCCTCTCTGAAATTGTGTTTCTTCTTCTATAAAATGGGCTTAATAATTTGTCCTGCCTACAGGACTGCTGTGAGGATTAAAGGAGGTACAGTTGATATAGCACCTGGCAAAAGCATGACTTGGGAGTTGACTTCCCTTGTGTGAACCCCCACTCCACCCTTAATGTACAGCCCAAAGATAATTCCTTAACCTCTGGTGCCTCAGATTCTTTGTCTTCAACATGTGGCTAATGATGCTTCCTCACAGATTAATGTGAGTAAAAAAAGAAGACCGTGTTCATAGAATAGCTGCCATGCTCAGTATTCGGTATTAGCAATCACCAGCATCATCATGAACGTCATCACTTTCACATCAATCTTAAGAAATAGAAACAATATCCCCGTTTTGCAGATGAGGAAAACGAGGCCCAGAGAAGTTTAGCAACTTGTTCCAGGTCACACAGCAAGCTAAGTAGTGGAGCTGGGTTTGAAGCCTAGATCTACAGAACTCCAGACCCAGACACTTAATTGCTATTTCCTCTTTGCTCCCTTTTCTTTTCCTAATTAGGGGAGGGAGGTAGAGGACAGCTTATTATCCTTTATCTGGAAGGATATTATCCTCTACTGGGAGCCCTCCTGGAGCCTGGTAGCCAGTATTGGGCCAAGCCTCTGGTTGAAGTTCATCCTCCCAACCAAGGTGAGAAGCCAGGATCAGCTTTATGCAAGAGTAAGGCTGGACAGCAGGCTTGTCACATATCAGCAAGAAGGGGCTGCCAGCGCAGACATGAGGCTTACTGGAGAGGGCTTTTGCTTCAAGGGAGTGGTGGGGTTACTTTTATCTTGGTGGTTGGATTTTCACCCAGATTCTCTGCTTCTTTTCATCACAGCTCTGAGGTCATGGAATGATAACACCTGCAGCCGAAAGTTCCCCTTTGTCTGTAAAATCCCGTCTCTGGCCATTCATTGATCCTGTCTTGTCCTACTGGTGTGAGCTGAACTCCAGTATCATCTTGTAGCTGTGCCCAGTGTAGAATTGAAACTAAATACATGTAAAACATACATAGGAGGTAAATCTCTTGGATAGAGATTTTAAACAAGCAGATCTTAATTATACAGGGTGGTTACTTGGCCAAGTGACAGGAAATTATACAGGGTGGTGACTTGGCCAGCTCAAATTGGCTTAATTAATTTTTTAAAAGGTGTTGTTGTTGTTGTTGTTGTTTAAATTGGCCCAAGTAACAGAAATCCAGAGGTTGTTCTGATTCAGAGTTGAATCTCACTGGGCTGGCTCAAGTCATATGCCCATCCCTGAAACAGTCACTCTGGCATATGCTAAGTGGCTAGCCCCTGCTTAACTGCACATCTTTGGGACAGAATGGGGTGGGAGTCACATCATCAGAGGGTCTGGGAGTGGGGGAAAATGGGAGGATGTTGGTCAAAGGATACAAACTTTCGGAAATAATAACTTCAGGAGACTTAATGTACAGTATGGACTATAGTTAATAATAATGTGTTGTGTTCCTGAAATTTACTAAGATAGTATTTTTTTTTTTTTGAGACAGTATCGTATTCTCTTGCCTAGGCTGAAATGCTGTGATGCAATCACAGCTCACTGTAGCCTCAACCTCCTGGGCTCATGTGATCCTCCCACCTCCAGTCCCCAGAATAGCTGGGACTATAGGGCACTACAGGCATGTGCCACCACATCTGGCTAACATTTTTTTTTTTGACGGGGTTCCACTCTTGTCGCTCGGGCTGGAGTGAAGTGGCACGATCTCACCTCTTTGCAACCTCCACCTCCCAGTTTCAAGTGATTCTCCTGCCTCAGCCTCCCAAGTAGCTGGGATTACAGGTGCTTGCCACCACACCCAGCTAATTTTCATGTTTTTAGTAGAGACAGTGTGTCAGCTTGTTGGCCAGGCGGGTCTAGAACTCCTGACCTCAGGGGATCCACCCACCTCAGCCTCCCAAAGTGCTGGGATTAGAGACGTGAGCCACCTTGCCTGGCCATGTATTTTTTTTTTTTTTAATAGAGATGAAGTTTCATCATGTTGTTCAAGCTGGTTTTGAACTCCTGGGCTCAAGGGGTCCACCCACCTCAGCCCGAAGTGCTGGGATTACAGTGTAAGCCACTGCACCCAGCCCAGAATATATCTTAAGTGTTCCCACCACCACATGGGCTCAAAGATGAGGCTGGTTCTTCAAAGGAAAACAATATTACCAAGCTCATAAATTGCTGGAGAAAATGTAAAATAGTGAAGCCGCTGTGGAAAAGTTTGGCAGTTCCTCAAAAAGTTAATCATAGAGTTAGATCTGACCCAGCAATTCCACTCATAGATCTAGACCCAAGAGAATTGGCAACAGGTATTCAAATATAAGTGGTCAGTTGGGTATGGTGGCTCATGCCTGTAATCCCATCACTTTGGGAGGCCGAGGAGGAAGGATCAGTTGAGCCCAGGAGTTGAAGATCAGCCTGGGCAACATAGTAAGACTCTGTCTCCATAAGAAAATGTTTTAAGTTAACCAAGCATGGTGACACACATCTGTAGTCCCAGCTGTTTGGCAGGCTGAGATGGGAGGATCACTTGAGCCCAGGATATCAAGGCTGCAATGAACCATGATTGTGCTACTGCCTTCCAGCCTGGATGACAGAGAAAGACCTTGTCTCAAAAAACAAAACCAAAAGATCACAGCAACATTATTGATTTAAAAAAAATGAAGACAACCCAAGTGTTCACCAACAGATGAATGACTAAATCAATGTGGTCTATTCATAGGGTGGAATATTATTCAGGCATGAAAAGGAGTGAAGTAAAGATAGATACTGCAACCTGAATGAACCTGAAAAACTATATGCTACCAATTGCAAAAGACCACATGTTGTATGATTCCATATATATGAAATATCCAGAATAGGCAAATCTATAGAGACAGAAAGTGGATTAGTGGTTGCTAGGGGATGTGTGGAAGGGGAATAGAAAGTGAGGGCTAATAGGTATGGGATTTCTTTGTGGGGTGACAAAAATGCTCTGCAATTAGACAGTGGTAATGGTTGTACAATATTATAAATGAACAAGAAGTCACTCAATTGTACGTTTTTAAATAGTAGTTAATAAATTTTACATTATATGAATGTTTTTATTTTTTGGAGACAGGGTCTCACTCTGTTGCCCAGTCTAGGGTGCAGTGTTGCAATCACTTCTCACTGCAGCCTTGACCCCTCAAGCTGTAGTGATCCTCCTGCCTCACCTCCCGAGTAGCTGGGACTACAAAAGTGTACCACCTCTCCCAGCTATGTTTTTGCCTTTTTATTTTTTTGTAGAGACAGGGTTTCTGCATGTTGCCCAAGCTGGTGTCGAACTCCTGAGCTCAAGTAATCTGCCCACCTCAGCCTCCTGAAGTGCCAGGACTACAGGCATGATCCTCTATGCCTGGGCCATTATATGAATTTTATCTCAATTTTTAAAAATGTTACCAGAAGAAAAAATGCATGCCAGGCAGGAAGAACAACAGATATTTATTAGTAGAGAGAACATTGAACAGAGAGGCAGGAGACCTCAGTTCCATTTCCAATTCTCTGGGCCTTGTTTCTGCTTTGGTATGGATTGGGGTTGTTGGGGGGAACCTAAAAATCAGGCCCTTCAGTACCAACAAGGAAACAGAGATTAAAATATGCAAAAAAAAAATCAATTGGCATTTGGTAAATTGTGCGGTTTCTCAGATTTTTGCAGGAACATTCTTCTGAAAAGGATGTTAAAATGGGACTTTGCTGTGGCTTCAGAATTGGTCCTGGGGCCTCCAATTGAAAACAACAGGTTCTAATTACCCCTGGTTCTGAAGAGAGCAATGAACACATGGGACCATTCAGCTACCCTTAGAGCTTACATAATGATTTGCAGACCTGGCCTTACTACAGTCAACCACATGAGTAGGGGAAGACAAAGACTGAGATCCTTGGCCTTGTAGGGAACATAGCATCCACAGTGAAAAGGGTTTTTACCTTTTCTTTCTATGGAAGTAGGAGGGGATGCTTTCTCTCCATCTCCAATGTCAAACGAGCAGAACTTTAAGAAATTGCTTGTAGAGATTGGGGTGCTCTTAAGAAAGGTACACTGGCTTTTCGCTCCCCAGCAGAATGTTGGCTATGTTCTTAAAAATTCTGCCCTCCCCAGTACTACACTGGAGAGGAACTGAGTCAAAGACTTCTCAAGAACACTTCATGCACTCGGACATGGTGGCTCATGCCTGTAATCCCAACACTTTGGGAGGCCAGCATAGGAGGATCACTTGAGCCCAGGAGTACAAGATCAGTCTAAGCAACATAGTGAGACCCCACCTCTGCAAAAATAATAATAATAATAATAATAATAATAAAGAAAAATAGCCAGGTGCGGTGGCATACACCAGTAGTCCCAGCTACTCTGTGGCTGAGGCTGGGAGGATTCCTTTAGCCCAGGAGGTCCAGGCTGTAGTGAGCTGTGATCATGCCACTGCATTCTAGCCTGGGTGACAGAGTGAGATCCTGTCTCATTGAAAAAACAAACAAACAAGCAAAAAAACCAAAAGGATGCTTTATGCATCTTGAGAATTTAGGAGTGTAAGGAGGAAAACTTTTCCTCTATCCTCTTATTTTGCTTTCTGGAGGCCTGTGAATCAAACTATCAAAAGACAAATTAACAGAAGAAAAGGCATAGAAGTTTTGTAGATGTTTTTACATGCCGAGGGACTTCATAGAAAAGAAGTGATAACCCAAAGAGGTGGTTAGATTTGGGGGCTTATCTACCATTTTAACAAAGGCGGATAAATTGTGGAGAAGTGACTAGAAAAAGGAAAAGGGGGTTGGCTTTCTAGTGGTGGAAAATTGTGGGAAGGTGACTAGGAAATGGATGGTAGATCAAGATTGTTTAGTAAGGTTTGTTATGTAGACTCAAGTGATCTCCAGGGTCATTCACTTCTTCCTAGCACAGGAGAGGGGATCGCGCTTACAAATGGAAATGTATGTTACATTTACAAAGAGAAAGTTATGCTCTGCGTGTAGGCAAATGTGGAGTCCTAATTAGGGAAAACTAGTCAGGCTGGTAGGACCAAGGGAAAGCAAAAAGAGAAAGCAGATTAGCTGTAAGTCTGCCTTTCTTCATGGTCCAGGACACAAGAGCCCTCCTGCACAAAAAGCTCACAATCTTTCTGTGCCCAGCACCCACCAGATCCCTGCAAGTTAGCTCCCTGCAGCCTTGGCATTATCAGTGCTGCATGCAGCGCTCTTTAGCATAAGCACCCTTCCATAACATCCCCAGCAACCCTTTGTTTCCTTGCTGACAGCCGCTTCTCTGCTGTGCTGCCCGTTGCAAGCTTGCAACATACTTTCACAGTTTCTCTAATAAATCTGCTTTTTTTTTTCTCACCTACAACTATCTTGGTAAATTCTTCTTACTCCTGCACCACTGGTCCCAGATAGTTGTCAATCACCCGTGACAGCATAGGGGGAGGACAGAGAGCTCTTCTTTTGTCTGCCATTTTTCTGTTTCTTTTTGTTTTTTGTAGAGATAAAATCTCACCATGTTGCTCAGGTTGTTCTCAAACTTCCAGCCTCAAGCGATTCCCTTGCCTCGGCCTCCCAAAGTGCTGGGATTACAGGTGTGAGCCACTGCACCTGGAGGCGGAGGTGGGAGGACTGCCTGGCATTTCTTAATTGTCTTTAGCTCAAAACAATCCTGATGCCAAAGTGGCATATTTTGGGATATCATATTCTGATCTCTTTTAGGGGCATCCATGAACAGACTATCATGCCTACTGGGACCCCAAGTTAGGAAGCTTCTTGTAATTTCCCAAAGCAGAGAGGGGAAAGAGGCAGTGGCAAGTGAGCCTGGAAAGAAAAAGATGGACACATGGGCCTGGGTGGTTCAGAAAAGGACTTTTTTAGTGGCTCCCCCTGGCTCCACGAGAAGAAGCACAGAGCTTAGAGTTGTTGCTCTGTGCCTAAGCTGCCCCATCTGTAAAATGAGGACAGTAAGTATGTACCTCACCGAGGTCAGAATTCAATGAAATAATATATGTGCAGGCTTTGAACAATGCCTGCACGTAGGGCTATGTAAGTTAGGTATTATTCTTACTGTATTGGTTGGCAAGTGCTACAAAGTGCCATGGAACAAGCCACCCCAAAACTCAGTGGCTTAAAACAACCATTGTTTATTATAACATGCATCTGTGGGTCAGCTGGGATTTGACTGACCTATGGACCTATGCTGGGCTCTGCTGGGCAGCTGCGAGTCTCATTGCAAATCTTGAGGATAGCCAGGGTGCCTCTTCTTCGCCACGTGTCAGGGGTGCCAGTCAGGGTCTTGGCCAGGCATTACAAACCGCCTCAGTTGGAAGGCTAACTGCCTCTGACGTTCAGCACTCTGAGTTCTGAGTTTGTGTTGTGCCAGATCCCTATTTAATCCAATAGGAATGGCACCATGTTCGAAAGGCCAAAGAACAGATGCAGAGCCAGTGAAGGAGGCATAGCGTTTATTGGGACTTACGTACAGGGTGGTCTAGAAGCATCAAGCTGAACATGAAAAACTATCGCTATCCTTGAAGGGGGATCTGGGTGGCAC